ACAATGGTAATTAAGGCCAAACTGTTCTGTTCTGCTTCTAATTACACAGCATTTGAAAAAAAGATAGATATGTAGGTACATTTTTAGGGGGAGGGAATTTTTGTGGGGTGTCTGCATGTAGTCATGGTTAAAACCTAGTAATTGATGAATATGTGGGGTTGGGCTTTTTTTTCTCTTTTTCCCCCCTAATAAAATTAGGTTCTGGGCTGTCAAAATAGGGTAGGTACGGTAGGTAGGGTAACCAGAAGCGGAACTATTTTGTTTTTAGGCTAACAGCATTGTGGGAAGAGAAAAGGCCTGTTTTTCCGTCCCATAGTGCTATGTAGCTATTGTGCAAACTCAATCAAGTAATATGTACAATAAGGCCTATTGAGTAACCAATCACGAACAGGGATTTAATTTAGGTAATTAAATGGTTTCATTTAGGTAAATAAATCTTTTGACATTTCTTAATGCAATTGAATCTTGCCTCCCTGCAGTTGCCGTGTTTCCTAGCACTGTCTACAAATGACATAAATAAGGGAATAATTTGTGCTTGGCTGGTTTTAAACACTATGTAAAAGACCGGTTGGTGTCTGGATAATGATCTTAAATATTGGGTCTTAAATATAGTGTTAAATACTGGCCAAGCAAATATTCATCAATACCTTTCAGTCAAACAAATATACATTTTTCGGTCTACAAGTCAAAGCAATTTCGAATAATTTTGTTCAACAAGTGTACATGTACTCTAGCTATATTATGGAATATCCATCCCACAAAAAGTTGTAATAAACAAATAACATGCACCGGATTTCATAGGAGTCCAAATTTCATGTGACACTGGATAAGTGTTTAAGACAGCCAGCTGGTCTTTAATCGTTTGAAACCGGCTACGTGATGGGCTCTCAACCAATAGCAATGGGTAAACTGTCAATGTATTTATAATAACTTTATGGATTTGCGTTACTCGAACTCAAAATGTATGTTCATCTCACTGAAACGGTTCCGTAGTCCTTAATATTTTATTTAAAATTTAACACATTGTATATTATTTATATTGATATTTAATTTAGTATTTGCAGTTTTATGTCAATTAATAAATACATTGCAAGAAAATGTTCATTGAAATATTTAAATTGTTTCCATGGCAATATTACATTTTTCAAAGTAAAGTATAGTTGCCATAAAACATTAAGCAGTATTACTACTTCCCACTCAGATTCAAAACGTTTGGGATGTAAGTAGATACATACATATAATTTCCTTTTACTTTACCAACAACTAAAAACTTACTTTGAAGTACCAGAAAATTCACAATATTAATATTACATATTGAAATATAACCTTGTTAACAATTCAGACCACAATATAAATTGAAAGAATCATATGACATTTCGAGGAATAAGCTGAGATATTTCTACATGTAGGTCTTGCAAATGACGTCATTTCCTACAGACCAGCCACGTGCATCGCCATTTTGAGCGTGAACTTCCATAATAGGCATCGGCTGCCTCGTATTTCGAACACATTTCGAGCAACATGCCCACATGTTTTGATTGCGTAAAATATGCACTTGATTGCGTAAAATACACAGGCTGCAGTTCTACAAAGATGACCCTCTTTAAGAGAAATCTATAGAAGGCTAGAAAAACTACAGGCATGCAACTTTTCCTCAGATCAGCTCATTTCCTTGTTTTTCACTTCACACTTATGCCATTGAAAATTGAAAAACACTGTACAATGTCCTGTAAAGATTGGAATTTCCTTGTTTGTTGTTAAGTCCAAGTTGCATGCCTGAGACTAATCCACTGTCAAATTACAGTTTTACGTCCATGCTTAGAACAGTGGACCTTGAACATTTGTAAGAATACAGCAGACAGTCCACAACTGGTTAACGGTACCAGCAAGGGCAATTTGGATAGAGCCATCAAACAAATGGAATTCCTTCACTCTTCGTATTGCTCACTCAACATGCACATGAACCCTGGCAATTGCTTGTGTCTGTTCTGTTTCCTCTTTAGAAAACTGTCCCCTTTCAGCAGTAAGAAATGGCGGAATGGCTAAGCTACATCCAATGGGAAGGAGGAGGTCTTCTATCAAAAATCCCTTGTCTGCCAATAATTTCATCTCCTACCTCAAGCAATTCCATAATACCTGACTGCTTGAAGATTTCTTTGTCAGAAATAATACCTGCATATAGAGCACTGATAAATGTTATAAGTCCCCCGGTGATATTCCAATGAGACATTTAAATGTGCCATGTCCTTTGTAATGCAAGTTCAATTCTGAATTTAAATTTAAATTCAGAATTGCACCATAATCAGTACAATCTACAATTACTCTTGTTTTGGAACAATTTTAAAAACATCTGGCATTTGTTGGTCAATCATCCCTCGTGTTCAGGCCAAAGCGGTATACTCCCAAGTACAACATACCAATAATTAGCCCAAGTAATCATCAATCTGCTAACCACTGCAGAAATTCTGAATTTGTCTGCTAAATCTTCATCAAAGGAACCTAGTTTGACCTTGTTTAGGAAGAGAAACAACTGGTCTATAAGTGGTAGATGGCTCTGAAAACCTGAACGCACTGTTAAAACTTTTGCCTCTCTGTAATCTAACAAACTGAGTCCAGTGGATCATTGTTGATGCATATGGAAAGATGAATTTTAAAAATGCAATCAACAGTGTATAATTGGAAAAACCTGTGTAAAATTTTATCTTGGCTGGGTCTTTGGAATATCTTTCCAAAAAATGCTTCCCTGGGCACTGTTGTTCTTCAAGATGCTCTTCAAGCTCCTTGATTCGTTCTTGTGCAGCGTTGAGTTGATCTTCAACAGGAGGCCCTTCCTCTAAGTAATCATGATCTGGTATCTGAGTAGCAGAATGTGTGGTATCACGAGACTCCTCACTCTCACTGATTTGCGTAGGTGTCCGTATATTCCTGTGGTACAAAAAAAAAGGAAGGTGCCAATAATTATCAGGCCTGGAATGCTCAAGTTTAACCCACAGCATTATTTTTACTCTGTTTGGAAAGCATCACCACTCATGTTCCCAATTTCCTAGGGTTTTGAGCCAACACAGTCCCAAACTGACTCCGTCCGTGTCCCATTCAACTCAGTCACAAGTCAACTCGGTCCCCATTCAACTCGGTCCCAAGTCAGCTCGGTCCCAAGTCAACTTGGTCCTAAGTCAACTGGGTACCAGATCAACTGTGAAATTTAAGGGAAAAAATGGTCTAACCAAGGCACCAGTCCGAAAATCAAATTGTGCCACACAGTCTTCGGGTACAATAATAATACAAGAGACCTTAATATGACAAGATCTTTGTTTGCGTACATTTATATATTTTTAATTTGGGACCGAGTTGACATGGGACCCAGTTGGCCTGGGACCAAGTTGACTTGGAACTGAGTTGACTTGGACAGAGTTGGTTTTCCCCCATAGGTTTTTCTTCACTTTGGCATTTTCATATGTCTTATTGACTTGAGACTTGGCAGACACGTAGACCAGCAGCCAAAGATGTTCCTCGTCGATTTTCGTAACAGTGACGTCATCATGTGTCACGTGACGTCATATTAAATGTGCATTTTTCAAATCGCTATAACTTCGGAAGTACAAGTCCAATGGGGTTGAAACTTGGTATGCATATACACTAGGATGTGCTACAGGTGACATGGTCATGACGTCATCACATGTCATGTGACTTCACATTTGAAAGGCAATTTTCTAAGGCCTATACCGGTTATCTACAGAACTATTGGGCCGATTGGATTTTAACTGGGTATGTACCCATATCTGGATGAAAATTAAAGTGATGTCATCAAGACATCAAATGTCATGTGACGTTCATTAAAGGGGCATTTTTCTATTAAAAGCCTATATCTACAGAACTATATGTTCGATTCGATTGTAACATAATATGTACCGAACCTAAAATGTGATGTGTTTAGATGAAATTTGAAGTGACATCATCATGTGTTCATCACGTCATAGAGTCATTTCAAACATTCGAAATAGCTTGTGTTTGTCCAAAAACACATTTTTAGTTTATGTTTGTGCTTTTCCTCTAGCTTAGAGTTCCAAAATAATATGAACAGGTCTAGTAATCTGTTAATTATTTTCAGTACAGGGTGAGTCAGAAAAGTGGAACCCAAACCCCCAACAATATATTTCATACTTAAAAAAATATGTAGCACCAAAAATATTAATCACTGGAAAGCCAATTTCCTAGGCTACTTTTAGATGAAAAAAAAATAACTGAAATTGCTCAATCCGTTCAAAGAATATCACCATATCAACCTGTCTCGTCAAAAAAAAACAGCAATTCATTTTGTGTTTGACTGTTTGGAACAACAACGAAAATGACACAGAATACTTGTTTCATCAACTGTCAAAACCAGTAGTACATAATATCTTTACTAACAACCCTGGTTAGGCAAACAATATGATTGATAAAATCCACTTTTTTTAATAGACGGGCCTTCACTGGGCTTTGTTGAACATTTTTATTTTTTTAACTGAGGTTTTATCGCTGGTGATGCTTGAAGACAACTGTGATGATGATTCTTGAAATCGCATTTTTGGACGAGACAGGTTTTAGGGTCATTGTGTTTAAATGGTGATATTCTTTGAACGGATAGAGCAATTTCAGTATTTTTTCATCTAAAAGTAGCTTATGAAATTGGCTTTCCAGTCATTATGATTTTGGTGCTACGTATTTTTTTAAATATGAAATATGATTTGGGGGGTTTTGGGTTCCACTTTTTTTGACTCGCCCTGTATTTGTATTTTTTTTTAATGGAACTGATGAGTTTATGTGTTTTTAATCTGGAATATACATAAGGAAAGAGATGCAATTGTGGGGATGAGAATGGCTAATAAAATAAAATTATATTTGTGGAGCAGACCTTTGAACACCCCCTTAAAAAATTTTTTTTTTATTTATTGTGTATGATATACATGCATAATGATGAAATTGTTTTCTTTGTTTTTTGTTTTGTTTTTTGTTACATATAGATCAGACGACAGTCCAACAAACTGGTTGCTTGCTGGGTATGAAGGAGGGAATCCTAAATCACAAATATTGATGGTCAAGTCTGGAGTTGATGGTCTTGCTGGACTGACAGAGTTGTTGAAGACTGATTTGGTGTATTATGGATTGTTGCGAGTCAGTGATGAAATAGATGACATCCGTACAGTCAAATTTGTATACATTACTTGGTAAGTTGAATTTTCTTGTAGTCAACTGTAAATAATTTGGAAGCTCAATACAGTCTCACCATTATCAATAAAACAAGTACCAAGTGGTACAACCCGGGGCAGCCGGGTAACGTGTGAAGATGGCCATACGGCACCGTCCGTGCATCGGGCCGTGGTGCGATTATTTTGGGGTTCCCAAACAACATACGCATGGGGTGTACGCTGTGGCATTTTTGACTTTTCTTCTCTTAAAAACATGAGAGAAATATATAAAATTAGAAAAAAAAGAAATGAATTCGAAGGTAATGAAATTTGGACTTCATTTTCTTTCAAAAAAAATATCCTCCAAAGCCTCTGAATAGAAAATAAAAAAAAATGTGGGTACAAAACGTTGACTCAAACCCACACTGGGAGGATCCTTTGCGGTACAAAATCATGACCCTACTGACTGAGCTATCGCACTGCTCAACAAATTTTGGAAATTCATGCATACATATCATAAAGTATCTTAGAGGGTATTTGCTCAAAAACCGTATATATGGATGTAGTTTGGGAAAAGAACATTCGCGTCATATGAAAATCAGACACCTATGAAAAGCGGACTCCTTTTCCCTGTTATTGGTTAATCCCTCGCACATGACAGGTAAATTTCCTTTATATGATCCTAAAAATAGCATATTATCATACTTACGCATGCGCAATACTACCAACGAGTCCATCTAATATGATCAAATATGCAAAAATATGCAAATTTGATCAATGCGCAACAGTGCTTGCAAAACGGGTCTTTGAATGCAAAGCTGAAATACTTTAGTTGTATGAATACAATATATGGCAGAGTAAAGTGTCCACCAACCAACCCATCCACCCACCCAAGTGTATATTTGTAAGCAATCGGGGACCCCCGATTGTCCTTCTTTTGTTTGTACTATAACTTTGTAGGAAAACCTCCCACATGTTTTGTACATGAATCCAAATTGGGGACCTCTTGGGAATTGGGGACCCTTTTCTCCTCTATTGTTCAACGTCCCCTAATGAATGCAGAATCAAACTCACCCACCCCCAACCAACCAACATAAGTGGCTCAAGCCCACGGCAAAATCTATATTGTAGGATGCATTGTGCATTTTCCAACATTGTTTATAACGTGATGCCAGAGCTTTATAAAATGCATGTTTTGTGTATTGTGGCGTCTAAACAATGTTTTGGGGGTAACTTTACCAGTCCTAAATTCTGTATGACCATACTGAAGAGGACCACTTATGGGGGAATCGTATAAAGGGAACAGTACCCTACAAGTGAAATCTTTGGGAAAAGGGATAAAAGGACAACAATCCCACAAGTCCTTCTTGTGAAGATGCTCGCTCGTACCCCCCGCCATGCAAACAGGATGCTTGGATACTGTGATGAGCTTCTCAGAATCCTGTGAAGGAAGTGGCCTATGACCTATGTATAAAGAATCTGGCTGCAGCTGTTCAAGACCGCAGTTAGACAATGTGCGCAAATGCTATCCGAAAACTTCCCATAGAATTGCGCACATTCCATACCGGATGTGATTTCTGTTTCATTGCGGACGATGTGGACAAAATTTGAGCGTCGCATAATGCAATCCGACCGTTCGTGATTCGAAACGGAGCCTGAGCGAGTGATGGGAATTGTAAATTTACAACACAGATAAGTTTTACAGAATTTCCTACATTATTATGCTTTTCAATGAGGAAAAAAAAATCTCTAACTGGAATAAAAGGGTAATGGATCAGTCTTAACGGCTGTTTCAAACCTTGCAGAGTCATGACCTTGATGACGCGCAGGTCACTGGTCATGCAAAATCCAACCAATCAGAGCGTAAATTCATCAGAGTATCCCATCGTCCTGTTTGCAGTGAAGTGAAGATGCAGTGACCCTTGGCTGGGAAAACACGATTCTTAATAGGTTTACTGAGGTCAAAAGTAAAGCAGAGGTCATTAGAAGTCATTGTTCAAATACGAGACACATTCTCACTGAGCGGATTGCAGCTATGCGATGTCGCGCACCGATCCGACGAATTATAGCAACTGCGCGCGCATGTGCGTCATGTCAATGCCAGGGCGCGCTTCACCGAATAAAAAAACTAACTAATTACGGAAATTTTCAACGGTGCGTCTGCCTTTTTTCGTTGAATTCTTCAAAATGACAGCATGCCAGAAAGGAAATATATACTTTTCTCCATATTTGGGTATATTTTTAATTTTTTTTAATTTTTTGATAAAAGATTTTTTGCTGATTCTACTAACACATCTTTACTTCAATAACAAATTTAAGTGACAAAGCATATAAATGACTAAATAATAATGAGGACAAAGTAAAGATCCATAATGGCTACTGTTATACCCTAAAGTTGCGCACATTTGCCTTGTCTCCAGATATCATCAAGTAGTCTTGCCAAACCTCAGTATTGATGAGCTTCAAATTCATCAAGTTATCATATTTCACTTGATTTCCCATTTATTTTTGTTAGGGTAACTGTGCCGGTAAGTAACTTTGTGCATTTGAAGCTGATCAATACCGACATTTGGCGAGACTGCTTGATGATATTGGAGGAAAAGGTAAATGCGCGCAACTTTAGGGTATAATGGTGGCCATCCTTGATCTTTATTATGTCGTGAAAATCATCCAGTCTCTGATATGCTTAAGAAAATGTTATTTAAGTGAGGATATGAGAAGATTCCCCAAAATAACTTAAAAAGAACTAGATTTATGTTTGTGGACGTAATGAGGCCTTCCGTTATATGTGCTTTAAAAAATCACAGTTTTGATGACGTCATGATGACGTCACACATTTTTCAATTTTTTTGCATATACCTATAACCTAACAAACCAAATAAAAAAGGATTTGCAATTTTTTAATGTTGCGTTCGTAAGATATGGCTTCAAGGTCCAAAAATTCAAATATTCATATAAAATGGCATGATGACGTCATCATGACGTCACCTCATTTTTTTTTACCTATTACACATCCCGGTCTACCCACATACCAAGATCAACAAAATCTTACTTACAGTTCTTTAGATATACATGTAGGACTTCAAAATATGCACGTTTGTGATGACGTCACGTGACCCCTGATTACATAATCATGACTTCACTCTTCGGGACACAACTTTGCCATAACAACAATGCATAATGCCTAATTTGAATGATGGTTGACAAAGTTCAGTGCCAAAAGTGACATGTTCTAAAATCGTATACAAAGTCTATGAGATTTTGCGTGGAACAAAAAGAGGAAGGAAAAACAAAAATCAGAACGAAAACAAAGGCTTTTTCGCATGAAAAAGAGAGAAAAACTGGATTTATGTTTGTGGACAAACACAGGGCTGTTTCAGTAATTTTTTTTTTGACATGTGACAAGTTCCATCAAGAAGGATGTTTGGTTCTGTTTATAATAAGTGGTGGCATATAATATGTAATTACAAGTTATAGGGCTTTGAATTATGACATCACATATCACATGATGACGTCACATCAATTTTGATGTATAACTATAATTTTATAGTAAAGAACAACTTAGCCAGAGCATACATCGTTGAAAGCAAGTTTACATCTTTCACCAATTTTGAATTACAAGGCACTTCCGGTTTCAACCGGAAGGAAGGGTCACGTGATTTTGCACATAATATAACAAATAAAAACCCTGGATTATTCTATCCATTCCTGCAAACGTCAAGTTCAGGTTGCTCACGGTTGATTTTATAGTGATTTTCAAAGATTAAATCTAATAATCTTTAGCGTGATGTCACGTGACCTATGATGACGTCATTGTTACGTCACCTCAATTTTCATCTATAACACATCTCGGTCTAGATACAGACCAACTTTCAACCAAGTCGGACCTGTAGTTCTGTAGATATAGGTCTTCAAAATCTGCACTTTTAATGTGATGTCACATGTCACGTGATGATGTCATCATGACGTCACTTCAATTTTCATCTATAACACATCCTGGCTTAGATACATACCAAGTATCAACCCAATCAGACCTTCAGTTCTATAGATATCGGCCTTCAAAATATGCACGGTTAATATAACGTCACATGTCATGTGATGACGTCATCGTGTCGTCACTTCATTTTTCATCTTTAACACTTCCCGGTGTTGGTACATACCAAGTATGTACATAAAAAAATTTTTGGAACAAATATAATACACGGTAGGTATTAATGATTTATACAAATTAGACACCCTTCCCAAAAGCCTTTCGCAGGCCCCGGCCATCTCTGACCGTCACAACAGATGCGTCACTTTCTGGCTTGGGGGGCTGCCCTCCGCCCGCGCCAGGCAGATGGGGCCCTGAACACCACTCGAATCACATAAATGTACTCGAGATGTTGGCAGTTTCCAACGCTCTCCAATATTTTCAGGTATCAGTAATGGACTGAACTGTCCTGATTCGATGTAACAATGCCACAGAAGTGGCCTACATGAACCGCAAGGGCAGCACGAGGTCTGCCCAGCTGTGTGTGTTCACATGGAAACTCCTCCATTGGTTTATGCTCCACGGTAAAATGCTTTCAGCAGTGCACCTCCAAGGCGAGGAGAACGACATTGCCGACACTTTCGCCAGCACTGCACCCACAGATTGCTCAGTCACTTTTTCTGCAGATTGACTGACCACATATTGATACTGTTTGCCTCTTGGGACAATCACCAATTATCGTTCTACCTGTGTGCACTAACCAAACTGGAGCTGGAAGACTGCAAGGTCCTCCTGATAGCTCCCTGTCTTTGCATGCATGTTGTATTTCCACTGAGGTGTGTTTTAGATGTCGTAAGAACGACTTTTATACTTGCATCAGGGCTCAAAGTTAGCGGGAGCAAGTAAAACTCCCCCAAAAAGATTAAGCTCCATGTCGAGAGCAACTGCTAGTGAGCAACTAGAGTGCCTGACTCCGTTCTACCATGGAAGAATTCTTGACTTATTTAATTTGTTAAACAAAGGCTATTGACACAGATTCACCAAAAAAAATTATGTTAATTAATATGGAAATATATTTAAGGTTGATTATTCTTAAGAATAATGGAGAATTTAAGTGGAGAACAAAAACACGTTCTCTTCATTAGTCACAATGGCTGTTTGCTCACTATCACCCCATGGTCACCCATGCGTAAAATAACTGCTTTGGCAGAAAGAGTGAAAGAAAGACCCATTGTTAAGGACCCATACTCCATAGAGTACATACTCTATGGAGTTTTGGATAGGATAGACCCAGTTTTGGCCTTGGCCTTGAGTGTTAAGTTTGCCTTAGCCTTAAGGCTTGAGTGTCAAAGTCAGAGTTGAAATATATGAAAAAGTACCATCCCGTATCTTACTAAATTACTTAACATGCCTACTTGATCTTTGACAGTGTTTGGAATTGGTTATCGAGACAAAGCATGTCATCTACATGTAACTTATCTCCTTGTGTGTTTGAAATTTGTAAATTTGCTAAAACCTTTTTCCTTTAAAGCTCGCATACTTGTAATTTCATCTGTTGGGTTTTTATTGGGGAGTATTGCTTGGCTGGAATGGTCCAGGGTTGGTCTTACTGCTGCATAGGCATTGTCACTCTTAACCTTTACTGTAATTTTAAATCTAACTCATGTAATTTATATTTTAAGGTTTTGTAACGACCTTTGTGGTAACTTTTACAATTAATAAAGTATACATTAAAGCCCGATTCAGCATTTTGACTGTCAGAGTTTGATAATAAAAACAATAAAAAGTACTTACATAATCGGAAATTATAAATTAATTAATTTACTTTAAAATGCGAAATGTGACTGTCATCAGCTGTTTCCCCTGATTGGGAATGAAGGGAATGCAACTGTAAAATAATATTTTGAACCTTTTGCACTATCGACATTTTTTTTTTCTCTCTTGTTCCCATCTTCTTTAACAATTGTTTTTTAAAGAATGTAATTTTTCAATTAACATATTTGTGTGTAGGGTTGGTAATGAGGTGAAACCAATGACAAAAGCCAAGGTGGCAACCCACAAGGGCATTTGTGGTGAGATGTTCAAACCAGCACACATTGAGGTGTATGCATCAGAATTGGCAGATTTATCAGAGACAGAGATAATTAACAAGGTGGGTAAATAGGCAGTTGTGTTGTAGGAATTTACATAAAATATCAAACTTTTTTAAAGGGAATAAACAACATTTGCAAACATCAAAAAAACAAAAGTACCAAATTATTTTGAAATACCTTGCTGGACTGATAGTGAATGGCAGTCAAAAGCATCCTGTAAAATCATGGCACCAGGTTTACTGACATTTTCAAGACAATTGTATTTTTGTATAAATTTTCAATGCTGGTCAGCTTGGACATTTTTTTTTTCTCCAAATACTGCCCCCGATTTTACCATATTTAATTACTCCTCATTTCCTCATTTTGTTTGCAATCATTACACACCTATGAACGGGTACAAATCAGCTAGACTGGTTCCCTGACCTTACAGTTCCCCAAAGTTTATAAATTGCTCCTTTACGTTTCATTTTAAGTGGGGTCAGGCAACCAGACTACAAGAACATGATTATTTTCCCAGATTTTTTTCCCCAGCATCTACAAACGCAAAACTTGAAAAAAAAAGTCAGCGTAACAATTTGCTATAAACTACTACCCCCCCCCCACCCATCCATCTATTTCTGAACATTTCAGCAAAAGCAAATGTTGTATATTCCCTTTAACATTACTGATTTGATAAGGGATGAATTGTTTAGTAAAAACAAATTTTAAAAGCTGACAATCTTTTTTACTTTTTACTACTGATACGATTAAGCTTCCAACAGGCATGCTATTTTCCTGATTTAATTAAGATTTCCAATTATTTCTTCATCACTACATAAATAAATTTGGGCATTAAACAATGCATGTAATTTAAAAAAAAGAATCCCCGTTTTACAAAGGGAGTTGCAAAACTTTCTTAGCAAAACTGGTGTAAAGACGGATCTTTGTGTATTCAGCCTGTGGGCTGCAACATTGATTTTATTGTAAATCAATATTAGGTTTGCTGCCTGGTTAAACCCAGCACCTGGTTCTGACCATTGTGCCCAAGTGGTGCCTGGTCAAACTCATGTACATGAAGTGTGCTGGTGGCACCCAGGGTCCTTTCAGATGTTTCTTCCGTCACTTCAATTTTTATCTATAACATATCCTGGTCTACGTACCGAGTTACAACCCAATCCGACACACAGTTCTTTAAATATAGGGTCTTAAAGTTTGCATATTTAAGATGACATCACGTAACCCATGATGACGTGATCATGACGTCACTCTTTTGTAATTAGGAACAGCTAAAAAATCTATCTAAACTGTAACAAAGACAGGCCTCTTCCCTTCATGTATTATGAAACTTATTTCATAAGTATTTGAATGAGAAACCTCAATAGAATTGATTTTTTGTAGCATCAACTATTCATAATCCTAGTCTAGACTGTAAAATTGAAAAGGGAAAGTGGAGGAGTTTAAGTTAAAGTTAAGTTATACAAAGAAGAAAGTTAGTGAAAACAGGAAAACAAAAAAATAATTGATGACTTGAACCTAAAATTGGGGGGGGGGAATACTTATTGTCACATGTAACAGACGGTGGTACCATTTTCCTAAATAATAAGTCATACCCGAGAAATCACAAAGTAAGCTCGGTTTCCTTTTTTTTTTTTTAAACACCCTGTAGAATACAGGATCACTCCATTCTACATCCGTGCATCCATGGCTGCGTGCATCCATGGCTGTGTGGATGCCAAAGGTCAGGTTAATCATGTTTGGAAAGTGAAAAAGCAGGTTATCACATTTCTCAAAAGGCAGAGGACTTTCAGCAGTATTACTGTTCACATTTCGCGGAGTCCAATCACGTGGCAATACCGTCATGGCTGCGCAACAAGTTCGTATCTCCTAAAATTGCGTGTGACGTTATGTACGTGAAATATACATTTCCCGCGTTTCGAAGTATAGCGGGAAATAATTGTCTTAAGAATTCGAGCAACGCATTGCAGGTGAATGGTTACGTAATAGAGCGTTGGAAGGTTTAAATAGAGAAGAAAAGAGTATTGAATTCAGTTCCAGCAAGCACTCCACACGAGGCACACAGACTTTTCGTTAACGCAATCATCATGGAGCAACAACAGCTACAGGCGCACGCCAGCGCTAAATTCATTGATGACCGAGTCAGACAGGCCGTGGACGGTTCGCAAGCTGCCCTTTTAGAAAAGCTTGATGGCCTTATAACGTCGAAGCTTTCTACTTTCGAAAGCAAAATAAACAGTTGTAAAAAAGAAATATCTGATAGCCAGCTCACAAAGATTCAAGGCATTATCTTGGCCAACGATGGTTACACATTCAAACGCAAGAGTTGTGAAGATCAGTTTAAGTTGAATGTTAAGGTAACGAGCAAGCTGAGAGAGGCAGAGTCACATCTAGAGGGCGGGGCTGACATCCAGCAAGCATCAAAAGACATATCCGAAGGTATTGAGCGAATTAATCACAGACAAAAACTAGTCAGAATGGCAGATGCATCAGAGCTAGGATGGAGAATTGTAAAGGAGTACGAAAGATGTACAGGGCTGAAGCCAGGGCCTCTAAGAAGCTCAAGACAGAACAGGCAAAGAAGAGCAGTAAAAACCACCAGATTTTCGTCATGGTCATCGGAACAGCGTACTTCGGCGGTTTCGTCAGCGACGGTACCTCGCTCAACCACAGTCGGCAAGGGCAATTAGCCAGGGCGTTGTTTTGGTTGTGGTCAAGCCGGTCATTGGAAGTACGAATGTGCAAGCAGATGAGATAAGTGATCTTGTAAAGTTTTCAGATTTTGAGGTAGAAGACATGGATAACAATATTGAACAGGATGTTACAACTGATAATGTAGTAATTAACGGATAATGCATCACCAACCGATAATGTCACACAAATTGACCGATACTGTATCACTAACTGATAATGTAACAGAAATTGACCGATAGTGTAGTAAAAATGTACTACACTATCAGTCGATTGTTGTTACATTATCGGTTAGTGATACCATTGGTGTGACATTATCGGTTGGTGATGCATTATCCGCTGGTTACTACATTATCAGTTGTAACACAGGATAAAGAGATAATGAGAAATGTTGATGCAAAGTTGCAATCTGCTAAGGGCTCCAACAATGAGGAGAATTTGGCTAAATATTCACCAGTTGGCCGATTACTGAAAGCCTTAGGTCAGTGGAACAAGTTAAACGTTAATCCATTTATCAGAAATGTATTGAAAGAAGGTTATAAAATCCCATTAAGAGTACTAACCAGAGGCTACGTATTCAGATAACAAATACAAGATACAAGTGTTCACTGATGCATCCGCTGTAGGGATATGGTCCCTTGTCGGGAGGGTAAGGCAATTTCCTTAGATGAGGTCCAGTTAGTTGAGGGCAGTGAGGTAGTAGGGTCATGGGACAAAGAAGAGTCCCAGAGTAGCTCCACTTGGAGAGAGATGGAGGCAGTACAGAATTCTCAAAAGTAATGAGATTTTGGTAATCCTTACTGTTAGGACACCTCTATTTTTTACAAGTTCTGTTCAAAACTGACTTTTGCAGATGACTGTCCAGTACCAAAGTGACTTTTGCAGGTTAATACAGTCTTTTTTCTTCATATAAACTCATGTTGGTTGTAGTTTTGAAAGCACTTTCGAAGAAAATGTGACTTTCCTACCTTTTTTCGCAGTCAGACGTGCATGTTGTAGTTCTCACACGTGTGAAAGCCCTACATAATTGAAAGCCCGATGCTGATTGGCTGCTAAAAAATAAAATTTAGTCTGGTTCCCAGACCAAAAGATTCGGATCAGATGTGGGCAATTGAAGTTAATTGGTTAGTACCCCCAGGTTAATTCAGAGAGTATTGTTGAAGGTGGAGGGTAACGGAAAGTAAAGATTTCAAGCCATTTATAGAGAATAGTATGATTACTACCACAACAACAGGTGATCCTTGGAGGTAAAGGTGGTAATGGCATATTTTCAGATGAACCATTAAAATTCAAGCTGATCGCTTTGAAGCTTGTTTTCTGAATTTCCAGTTTCATTGTAATTGCTGGAGGGAATGTGAATGCTGATTTTGAATTTTTCTAACAGAGATAGGATTGAGGCATAACGTCTCAGCAGCTTTGGAGACAGCGGGAGTGGTGGATGACAAAATAGTTAACCGGATGTGTCAACACTTGATGTCTTCCATGAGTGACGCTACGGTCAAGAAATACATCGGGAGTTTCAAGAAATGGCAGAGTTTATGTGCCACGAACAGATGCACCTCATTACCAGCCCAGCCAATTCTCATCGCAGTGTATCTAACGGAGCTCCTCGACTCGGGGGCTTCTCATCGCGTTATTGCATCAATAACATACATCATTAAATGGGCCCAAGCAAGCACTCCACAGACTTTAATTTTTGGGAAATTTTGATTTTAATAGTTTGGAAAATTGTGAGTACTTGTATAATTATTTTAGGGTGAAGCCCAATACCCTCGCCGAGGAGAATTCTGAATGTTTTGGGGTACAGGTTTTTCAGAGCATTTTACAATTTTATCTCGGGTTTTGGTTTTTTTGCCTGGACGTCGACTTCTCCTATGAAGCGTTTTGAGTTAAATAGTAAAAGCTATTACAGCATGACGATTGGGATTATTCAGTGAGAGTTTTGGCAATTATGTTAATATAATACAGAGCATCGTATTTTCTGTATAAAAGTCGTAGCCAGTCATAGGTTGAAATCCTACGGAGGAATGTTTTAAAAAAGAATTTTGGTAGTCAAACCGTACTGACTACGGTTGCACAATGGTGACGTAGCAGCTGCAATTCATACAGATTATCAAGTTGTATTAACTTTCCAAATGTACAGATGTGCATGTCCCTAATCATTCAATAAACGGTGACCTCGTGTTTCCTGTGCTTTGCTATCGCCAAATCAACGAAGGGTTTTGCTGTGTATTTTGTGAAAGTGAGAATCTAGTTTAAGACTGCCAGTTTTCAATGTCAAAAGGTCGTATCTTGCTTAAAATAACCCTCGTAACAGCCTCGTTAATTCAAGCTTTATGTGTGTTTTTTTACCTTTCAGGTGAAGGCAGCATCTGGGACCAGGTCTTATGTAAGGTCTTAGAAATTCAACACCATCACAATGCACTATCTGGTACATAATTATGTTGGGGGCCCAGGGAGATTTGGTCAGGCTTGTAGAGTCAATGATAAACAAAAAGTAGGTTACACCACTGCTGAACACACAACTTTGAAAGTTGTCGTGTCAGCAGATGGAAGTTGCTTAGCAGCTCGTATGGAAACTCCATTAGGTGATTTGATTGACCACTGAAATCAGCACAGTGGGCATTCACCTAGTTCCACCAGCTGATTCCCTGGTACAATAAGTCACATTTGTAATAATTACATTAATTATGTATTTTATGATCTGCCACATAATATTATTACATGTAATATGGAATCATCTCATGTCAGCGACAATCCTGATATCACATGGTACATAATCACTATATTTTTCTATATTATTTAATTAAAAGGGGAACAAAGTTGGAAAATCTTTCTAGCTCTATTATTTACTAAGGAAGTAACATTTTAATGAGATGGTTTTATGCAATTATATTAATGCAAGAGGGATATATTGGTTTAAAAAATCATGATAGAAAAAGTGTTTAAGTAGTGTTAGAGTAATATTAACAATCAGGCGCCTGACGAACAAATTTAAAAAAAGAGACAGAGTAGCAGCTAATGAAGATGTCAACTGCCACATCTCGGCACCCCACCAACAAAAGTCTATAAACAGCTGTCATCGGACAAAAGATAAACATCCACTGATGGGATATTTGATAATAGAGTTCTCTTATACATTGAGGCCCCCCCCCCCCCCCCCGAAATGCAACCCTTTGCATTGCCTTTAAAAAAAAGGGGATTGGTGGATTTTTATGTTTTGGGTATCAGATTAAAGCTGAGATTTTTTTTTTCAGATACTGAAAACATCATGAAAATAGCACTTTTAGTTTGGGTTGCTGAGAAAATGCCATTTATTTATAAAAGTAGTCATTTTTTTCATCCTGTTCACAAGTACTTTTAGCCTGCTGTGCAAATCTCCTTTTGATGCTGAAAAGGTTTAAAATATAGGACTAAAAAGGATGAGAAAATAAAAGGTAATTTCCATCAAATTCATTTGTACTCGTCGTATTATGTGCTGTGTTGTGTGTAAGGAGAGGGACATACACAAAATGGGTACAGTGAAAAACCCTTACTGTGGTCATTTGTTTGTGTACATGATGAAAAATGACTACTTGACATAATTGGCAATTTCTCGGCAACCCAAAGTGTGTGTTTCATGATTTTTTTTTTCAGCATTTAAAAAAAAACCTCTCCGCTTTAGTCTGATAAAAAAATCCACCAATTTGAGGGGTTTTTTTGGGGGGGGGGGGGTTCACCCTGTAGAATGAATAGGGGTGTTATAGAGTCCATCACAAGTCCTTTTACAAAATCTAGTCAAGTAATACCCATGATCAATAAACAAAGACATGGCAATTTAAATATTTTTTACTTGATTTGAGGCTGACTTGTTAGAATTGCATTTTATTGCATTAAATTAGAACATAAATAGATTTGTGTTTTGTCATTCTGTTTAAATTTACCTTGTGCGTTTCATAAACCTTTCATGGCCTTGTCCGTTTCATAATCACTTATATTGGCATTTTATATGCATGTCTAACTGCAACAATCACACTGTTTTACTGTTAATGAACCCTTTCTTTCCCAGAGACAGAAACGTTTGTCTAAAACATCTTTATCAGACATTAAAAGCATCGTGCCATGACACAACTTCCGACAAAATACGAAAGAACATCAGTTTATTTATTATTACCAACAAAAAATATGCACCTTAATCTCGCTGAAATTAAAACATCAAGCTCACTTCACAAAATAATTATCTTTAATCTTCTGGTCCTAACTGTACAATAGGATGATCCACACGGCTACATTAAATACACAATTTATCATACACTGCTTAAAATTGTATTCTTCCAATTAGATTTCACGAACAAGTTTGATGTCTCACTCACTAAACTGGACTCCCTAGTCCAGTTTAGCAAAAGAATATTACATGAAGAGTACACATCCTAAGACTGGTGGTTTAGCTCCGAAATTATGCAAAGCAATAACTGGTGAGCACTTCTTAAATTTATATTTTCATTTACACCGTTTTAATTAGTTCTTCTGTCCACGGATCACAAAAAGGTAAGTGTTCTTTCAGCAAAACAAAAACAAATTACATACTTACTTACTTGACTTTATTTCCATCCAAGATATAGAACAATTGCAACAATTATACAACAATTAGCCACTTTATTATTATTATACAAAACTCTGAATTATTTTCGTTTTGCTAAAAAGAACATGCACCTTTTTTGGGGTGATCCGTGGACATAACTTTAAAACGGTGGTTGCGTGCACTTAAATGCCTCCAATTGAACTGAAATGCTCTCCAAAAGCATCTGCACCCAAATGCGAGCAAAGTCTTCAAATGTCCTGAAATTCCCCAAAAACTTCAATATTCCCCCAGATGCACTCCAAATGTCTTTAAATGTCCACAAAGGCACCAAAAATGATCCAAAATGCTTTCCAATGTACCCAAATGCACCCAATTGCACTCAAATGACCCAAAATGTCTTTAAATTTCCATAAATGCACCTAAATCCACTCAAATGTGAGGAAATGCACACAAATCCACTCGAACGTCCCTAAATGCTCTCAAATGCTCTCCAATGCACCTAGATGTCCTTAATTTTTTCCCAAATGAACTCAAATTGCTCTGCAACAAATGCACCAAAATGCTCCTTTAATTAATGTCCTTAAATATCCCATATTTTTTTGAAGGCACCAAAATGCTCTGAAAAACATCCAAATGCTCCTTAAATGCTCTCAAGTACATCCAAATGTCCTCAATTGTCCAAAAAAGCTTTCAAATGCACACAAATGAACTCACAAATGCACTCAAATATCCACAAAAGTATTAAAATATCCCAAACACAAGCCATATGCACCACAATGTCCCAAATGAACTTAAATGTCCACAAAACGAACTGAAATGCACATAAATGCGAGCAAATGTCCTGATATTCCCCAAATGCATTAAAATTCCCCCAAAGTCCAAAAAAGTCTTTAAATGTCCACAACTGCACCCAAAATGACCCCAAATGCATGCAAATTCGGTCCAATGCACCCAATTGCACTAAATTCGCGCAAATGTGTCAAAATTATTGCTCCCATGTGTCAATAAATGTCCACAAAACGAACTGAAATGTAACTAAATGCCCGAAATAGCCCAAATGCTCTAAAATTTCCCCATATGCACTCAAAGTACCCAAAATGTCCACAAATGCACGCAAATGCTTCCAAATGTCCTGAAATGCCCTTAAAAGTCCACAAATACACCAGAATGAACTCAAATGCTCTGCAATGCGCCCAAATGAATTGAAATGACCCTAAATGCTTCGAAATACACCCAAATGCTCCCAAAATGTCCTTAAAATTCCCCATTTGTTCTTAAAGCCACCCAAATGTCCCAAAATGCTCTTAAATACATCCAAATGTCCTGAAATATCACAAATACACCAGAATGAACTCAAATATCCAAATGCACTCAAATGTCTGCCAAATGCACTCGAAGGCTCTCAAATGCACCCAAATGCTCTCCAATGCACTCAAATGCTCTCAAGTACATTTAAATATCCTCAAGTCCCAAATGCTTTCAAATGCTCTCCAAAGCATCCCAATGAACTCAAATGCTCTCCAATGCGCCCAAATGAATTGAAATGTCCCTAAATGCCCACAAATGCACTCAAATGTCTGCCAAATGCACTCGAAGGCTCTCAAATGCACCCAAATGCTCTCCAATGCACTCAAATGTCCCCAAACGCTCTCAAATACATTTAAATGTCCTCAAGTCCCAAATGCTTTCAAATGCTCTCCAAAGCATCCCAAATAAATTGAAATGTCCCTAAATGCCCACAAATGCATCGAAATGCTCTCAAATACATCCAAATGTCCTGAAATGCCCTTAAAAGTCCACAAATACACCAGAATGACCTCAAATGCCCCAATGCACCCAAATCCACTCAAATGTCTGCCAAATGCTCTCAAATGCACCCAAATGCTCTCAAATGCACTCAAATATCCTCAAATACATTTAAATGTCCTCAAGTCCCAAATGCTTTCAAATGCTCTCCAAAGCATCCCAAATGAATTGAAATGTCCCTAAATGTCCACAAATGCATCAAAATGTTCTGTAATACATCCAAATGTCCAAAAATGCTTTCAAATGTCCACAAAAGTACTAAAATATCCCAAACACATGCATATGCACCACAATGTCCCAAATGAACTTAAATGTCCACAAAACGAACTGAAATGCACATAAATGCGAGCAAATGTCCTGATATTCCCCAAATGCATTAAAATTCCCCCAAAGTCCAAAAATGTCTTTAAATGTCCACAATTGCACCCAAAATGACCCAATTAGGCATGCAAATTCGGTCCAATGCACCCAATTGCACTAAATTCGCGCAAATGTGTCAAACTTAATGCTCCAACGTGTCCATAAATGTCCACAAAACGAACTGAAATGCCCGAAATAGCCCAAATGCTCTAAAATTCCCCCATATGCACTCAAAGTACCCAAAATGTCCACAAATGCACGCAAATGCTTCCAAATGTCCTGAAATGCCCTTAAAAGTCCACAAATACTCAAATGCACCCAAATCCACCTCAAATGTCTGCCAAATGTCCCCAAATGCTCTCAAATACATTTAAATGTCCTCAAGTCCCAAATGCTTTCAAATGCTCTCCAAAGCATCCCAAATGAATTGAAATGTCCCTAAATGCCCACAAATGCATCGAAATGCTCTCAAATACATCCAAATGTCCTGAAATGCCCTTAAAAGTCCACAAATACACCAGAATGAACTCAAATGCCCTCAAATGCACCCAAATCCACTCAAATGTCTGCCAAATGCACCCAAATGCTCTCAAATGCACTCAAATATCCCCAAATGCTCTCAAATACATTTAAATGTCCTCAAGTCCCAAATGCTTTCAAATGCACATAAATGAACTCAAATGCACTCAAATGTCCACAAAAGTACTAAAATATCCAAAACACAAGCATATGCACCACAATGTCCCAAATGAACTTAAATGTCCACAAAACGAACTGAAATGCACATAAATGCGAGCAAATGTCCTGATATTCCCCAAATGCATTAAAATTCCCCCAAAGTCCAAAAATGTCTTTAAATGTCCACAATTGCACCCAAAATGACCCAATAAGGCATGCAAATTCGGTCCAATGCACCCAATTGCACTAAATTCGCGCAAATGTGTCAAACTTAATGCTCCCACTTGTCCATTAATGTCCACAAAACGAACTGAAATGCAACTAAATGCCCGAAATAGCCCAAATGCTCTAAAATTCCTCCATATGCACTCAAAGTACCCAAAATGTCCACAAATGCACGCAAATGCTTCCAAATGTCCTGAAATGCCCTTAAAAGTCCACAAATACACCAGAATGAACTCAAATATCCCAATGCTCTCCAATGCACTCAAGTGCTTCTCAAATACATTTAAATATCCTCAAGTCCCAAATGCTTTCAAATGCTCTCCAAAGCATCCCAATGAACTCAAATGCTCTCCAAAGCATCCCAAATGAATTGAAATGTCCCTAAATGCCCACAAATGCATCGAAATGCTCTCAGATACATCCAAATGTCCTGAAATGCCCTTAAAAGTCCACAAATACACGAGAATGACCTCAAATGCCCCAATGCACCCAAATCCACTCAAATGTCTGCCAAATGCTCTCAAATGCA